GACCGAAAAATTTATCTAACAATGGTGTCTTAACTACGGGACAGAATTTGTTCATACCAAACCGTTGTTACCTAGCAGTGATCTTTATAACATCTGTTTGTCCTCTTTCCAGGCTTATGGTTTTTCCCATCCAACAGAAACATTGGAAAGAATTTGTTTTTATTAAATCTGTGTGTATTGGGCTATAAATGAGTTAGGCGATCCCCATTATGAGACCAGTGGTAATTGTCCGCCAGCTCACAAACCGATATATAATCAACATTGATTAGGTCGTTTTTGAAAATGAGCATGATGTCGTATGACCTGAAACCACTAATGACTCATCATTTCATTCTTCGTATGTATTAATTATTTAATTTTCCAATCCATAACCGCATTCTTAAAAAAAGACAACACCAAAATATATGTTATATATACGACACAAACATCATATATTTGTGCTAACGGACTACGTTTGTAAAGAAATAATGGTGAAATAATTTATTACATGGAACCTTAAAGTGGTCTGTTTTATTTAATATATATATATATATATATATATATATATATATATATATATATATAATTTATAATTTATTTTTATAAAAAATTTATAACATAAGTATGTTATAAAATCACTACAAAAAATAGCCATTTTGTTTCAACACACTCTGTGTCTTATCAAGTGATGATGTTGAAAATAAAATAAATGGTTTTAAAAGTTTCAGATTAATTAACGATCCTACACTAGGGGGAAAAACATTGTTACAAAAGCTAGAATAAGCAATCAAAAACGAAGTATAGAAAGATTCAAAAGCTTGACAACGAAATCATGCTATAATGGCTTTTCAGATCTTTAAATACGTGAATATTAAAAATAATTTATACTAACTAATAATTATAAAATTATATGATAAAATTTAATATTAAAATTAAAAACTGGCAATTTTAAAATCTAAATTTAATCACTATTAAGTTTAAAAACTACAAAATTATTGAGAAAAGAAAAAAATATATATGTTTATTCAATTCATTTCTTCATTGAAATTACGTTCGACAAGACGCTACAATACATCCGGTCATTTGACAATACATGTATATATATTTTTTTCTTTTCATTTTTGTAGTGATTTTATAACATACTTATGTTATAAATTTTTTTATAAAAAATAATTATATCTGCTCTACTTTGTATTGAGCACTCTTTTAAGAATAGTAATTGTTGGTTATTGGAATTCATTCCGTATATACCAATTATATACTTTGACACACACATATATATATATATATATATATATATATATATATATATATATATATATATATATATATATATATTAGGACCTTGAAAAATATCACTAAAATATTGTCAATCTCTAGCCACTAATTTTCACATTTTTCTAACAGCATTTGAATTCCACGTGGTAAAAACGACATATCTTTGAGGCTAACCACCAATCGATCCATTTTTTGACATTTTCCCAACAATGCAAGTGCTGCTCAGCCAGGCCATGTGCCATCGATCGGAACAAGTGATAGTCGAATTGGGCAATGTCTGGTGAATCCGGTTGGTGGGAAGTACTCCCCATTTAAACGTTTACAAGTAGGTTTTCACCCGTTTTGCAACATGTGGTCTAGCGTTGCTATGTTGCAAAATCACTTTGTCGTATCTCTGCTCCTATAGTGGCAGTTTTTTTCTTCAATGCTTGGCTCAAACGCATCAATTGAAATCGATAGCGATATCCCGTGATAGTTTCGGTAGGTTTGAGCAGCTCGTAATGAGCTACACCCAACTGATCCCACCAAATACAGAGAAGAAACTTCAAACCATGCATATTTGGCTTTGCCACCGGTGCTGAGGCATGGCCGGGTTTACCCCCGCGATCTTCTACGCTGTGGATTAGCGTAGCGTATCCACTTTTCAGCGCCAGTCTTGATATGATGCACAAAAAAAACTTTCCATTTCTGCCGTTGAAGCAGCTGTTCACACGTTACAAGATGCCATTCAATGGCTCTCGGCTTCAACTCTAACGACACTAAATGTCATTGAATTTGAATCATTCCTAATGTTTTCACCCATTTCGAAACTGATGTACGATCAAATTCTAATGATTCTCGAAGTTCGTCTTCAAATTTTTTTGATGCGCCAGAGCGCTCTTTATCTTCAACATCAAAATCATTATTTTTGAAGCGTCTAAATCAATCTTTAAATGTTGTTTCTGATAGAGCATGGTCGCCGTAAGTGTCAACAAGGATTCTGTGAGTTTCAGCTGCAGATTTCTTTTGAATAAAGTAGTGCTGTATAATTCCTCCGCGAATAAATTTTCTTTGGCCAGAAATTGGATATGTTTAAAGCTATGAGAACAAAGATGTATAAACTTTGGCGAAATAACATACACTGAATGTCAATCTTGCTTATAGTACTTCCTTATAGATGCGTTACTATGTGAAATTGCACGCACGCAGTTCTGGGAACGACATTTGATGGAAAACACCGCAAACTTATTCTAATATAATATATATATATATATATATATATATATATATATATATATATATATATATATATATATATATATATATATATAGAGAGAGAGAGAGAGAGAGAGGGAGAGAGAGAGAGAGACATGACAGAATTGAATAGACACCAAGATAAATTTTATTTCTCATTTTTAATAACCAAGATGAATTAACTTAGATTATTTTTAAAATTGCAGATTAAATACTGGAACAGATAACCAAATAACATCAGACCTATCCGAATGCCACGTGGGAACCAAAGGTGGTCTTATCAAAGAAAAATATTTCAATAACCCTTTCTACTGTTAATAGAGTGATTGTACAATTCACCAGAGAGGGCAAGAAGTGCACAAAACCTCATCCAGGCCGCCATGGGCCCTCTGAAAGATCCGTGCGTCTTGTCAAAAGAAATGTTGAACAGGATTCACGTTGCAAGGCCTCTGACATAGCAACACAAGTTGATGTCAGTCCCAGAACAGCTGTCAGGTATCTTCACAAGCAGAGCTGAGAGAAGGAAACCACTTCTCTGTCCAGCCAATATCAAACGCAGAAAGGATTGGGCTCATGAGATGGTGAAGAGACCTGTGACCGTTTGGACCACTATCATTTTCTCTGATGAGTCAAGATTCGCATTATTTTCCGACAATGGAAGTGTATGGGTATGGAGACTCTGTAGTGAAGTGTTTGATTTAAAAAAGACTGCAGCCAACAGTGAAACATGGGGGCCTTTCAGTAATGGCATAGGGTCCAATTTAGAGTGATGGTCGCTCAGAGCCTGTGGAGTGTGAAGGAAACATTAATTCAACCAAATATGTTTTTATATTAAAGAAAGGGCCCCTTTCAATATTCTCAGGAAGTAGAATGAGCAAAGTTGACTCCCTATTTATGGAAGATGAAGCTCCATGTTACACTGCTCAAGCAACGCAACATTTGTTGAGACAAAATGGGATCAATAGACTTCCATGACCAAGTCAGTATCCGGATATTAACCCTATTGAACACCTTTGGGGCATATTAGATCGAAAACCCCGCAAAAAGAACAGGAAGCCATCTTCTAAGCCCGAACTTTCAGGATTATTGCGTCAAACATGGCAAGAAATCCCTCAAGATGATATTTGTGAACTCATCGCTAGCATGCCTAGAAGGGTCCTTGCATTGAAAAATGCAAAAGGGATGTCTACCAAGAAGTAGTTATTAAATTTATGACCATTTATAATTACTTCATTTGTAAAAATTACTTGTTTAATAAAATAAACGGTTTCTGTGAGGGTCTATTCAATTCTGTCATGTCTGTATATATATATATATATATATATATATATATATATATATATATATATATATATATATATATATATATATATAGGATAAAATGTAACTAATGTCTTTAATTTAATTACAAAATTAAATTCGGAGCTTTCAGCTTCCATTTTTGAAACATGGTTAGAACTGCGTAGCGAAAAATATCTTAAATCAATTAATTTATAATATTAATGCTCTGTAAATTTGCATTGAGCACTATTTTGTAAAAGTTAAAATATCTATAAGAACACCGGATTATATATCTTACTGTTCCTTTTTATATATATATATATATATATATATATATATATATATATATATATATATATATAATAAATGAAAACATCTAAGACAAGAAGAAAAAGAGGTACAAGGAAAAGAAAATGAAAGAAAAAGGACAAAATTCAAACACCTACCTACTCAGATAATGAGTATTACACCCAGATTATCTAGACAGTAACAAAAAAAAAACGCTTAACAACGTCAACACTTAACAAACTTAAGAAATTTACTCGAATTTCGCGCTCTCACGATTTTCTGATACCTATATATGATTAAATGATTAATATACATGATTAATAAATTTAACGTTTCGCAGTTTAATTCTCGCTTCAGTAGATAAAATGGCGAGCCCTGGCAAAGTTAAAATTATTTTTATTTTATCTATTAAACACGTTTCAAAATTAATTTTCATTTACCTTAAATTTCTCATCCCTCAAAGCTATTTTTCAGATTTAATATCCTTAAAGTAAAAAAATGAAAAAGAAAAAAAAAATTAACCCGGAAATTGTTATGATGTAAAATTACAGACGTTTTCAGTTCATTATCAAAATTATGAATACGGATAATGTGAGGCAGTGTATATCAGTTGTGCATGTAAAATTGTATCTTCCATCGTGTGTGCCAGGAATTAATTGCTTTCTGTAACATATTTCTCGGTGGTAGTCGTACATATGAGTAATTTAATAGAAAGTTTCAAGAATTAATTTCTGATTGAGCCGCAACCTATTTTCAGCTTCAAATAATACTTAAATATTAGGTTTTTCGATTTTTCCAATAGTAACAATTCTTCATATTTTTATCCTATTTTCTTTCTTTAATAAAAAATCGTTTATTTTCACTTAAAATAATTGATATTTTTAAAAGCAAGAAAAGAATCTAATCTCGAATTTAAATCCAAGCTGACACCGACATCACTTCAAAACACCGGTTCCCGTACGATCACCGAAGTTAAGAAGCGTCGATCCTGGTCAGTACAAAGATGAGTGACTTGGGAATCCTAAGTGTTATTAGCGTGTAGCGCAATAAAAAATGACACGGAATTGTTAATCGGTGTGATGAGTTTCCATTAAATTTGGATTCGTGATATTTACTTACATAAAAAATACACACGGGAAAGGAATAATTGCAACTGTTCTACCCCCAGTTAATGATTAAATAGTAAGAATTACACCACTATATCATTATAATCTAAAAACAATTCTTGAGTTCTAAAAATATTTCTGCAAAGCCGTAGAAAATGAATCAATCTAAATTTACAAAGGTCTATGTTTGTGTGGCGTTGCAGATTGTGGCGTCGGTGAACTGAGTTCAAGTACTCTCCAATTCTTTGCCCTCCCACCAACTATGAGATAAATATCTAGGTGGACCCTATCTCTCCAGCTTTGACTGGTAGATAAACTAGAAGGAAATATTTCAATTCAATCAGTGAAAAAGTAACGGTCAATCAATCCGTTACCTTTTTCAATATGTCAATTTTCTACATAAGACGTGTGAAAATATGTGATACCCTCCACTTGTCAGCCACATATCGGTGTGGAGGTGGGTGCAGCAACTCAGTTCAATGGCTAAGGCGGTACTAGCAAACATGGCGCCACCAGTAGCTTTTGCCAGCGGGCAGGCTATCGTTATTGTATATGTGTCAGTCTCTTGTGACAGTTTTTTTTTTAAAACTACAATTGAGAGTCTCATTGTTGTGTTAAAATACACAACTCACTCGTATCGACCGTTACTAATGAATAGGAAGGTAAACAGATATGTTCACCTTTTATAAAGACCTATTTCTTCAGTATATAGGAGGTCATATATTTCTACGGGTTACTTTTCTTTATTACATGTGGCTTACAATTCACATCGTCTCCAGACAACAGATCAACAAACATCGAGTTGGATCTGGTCAAGATCCATAATAAATAATCTTAAAAAAAAAAAAACATGCTCGCAAAACAATGATACTTCCGACGTGAACGAGGGTGGTTTTATTTAACTTTATTAACTCGTAGACACGGTGGAGTAATTGATAGCGGCTCGGGTTGAGGAATCGAAGAGCTGAGTTCGAATTCCATTCAAATACATTACTGTTGTGGATTCCGGCATGAAAACCGGTACCAATAAATAACAAACGCCAAGAATGAATATAGGAAAATAATGTATTAACGTAATAATGCAAACTGGTAATGCAGGTTAGTAGTTCCAGGTATACGGGTTAGTAGCAAAATATCTATAGATTCTTTGGTATTGAAGTATCGCTGTATGACTTCTTACTGAGTCTACGTGCTCTCTCACTGTGACTCTTGCTCGTTACGTTCTGTCTGTCTGTGTGTCTGTTACCTTCACCCTCGGTTGCTCTTGTCTCTCGGGTCTTCACGTAGCAGTAGTATATGTATATATTGGGTGAGTCCATTTGTGTAAAAAGGGGAGGACCCCTCAACAATTACATTCACTTACGTGCTAATAATTTTGGAAAAAGGTATGAATCCTCTTCTTCTCCCCACAAGCTATGGGTAAATAGCTGAACAGACCAGGTTCTATAACCTGGGATAGCAACTGGTAGAAAGAAATGTCAACCTACTGCGGGGAAAAAAAAACTGCCTCGTCAGTCATGTATCGAAAGATCGCTTAAGCGTGTATCCCGCAAGGCACATGACTGACTGAAACCGTAGAGATGCATGACCTCCTATATGCTGAAGAAACAGGTCTTTAAAAAAGTTCAACTTTTACCGTTCATTTTTTATTGGTCGTGTCAGTCCTTCGGGACGTGAGTAATCATGCGCCTTCTTACTGAGAAGCCTTCTTCTGTCTTTTTTTAGTGAACTCTCAAACAAATTTCAAAATACTAGGGGACCATCAGCTTAGCTTTTAGAAATTTTAATAATTTTTTCTCGAATGCTAATTGTTATGGGGTCCAACCCTTTTTCATACAAGTGGACTCGACCAGCGTGTACTTGTACTGCTGCCGGTGAATACCCGGGAGTGAGACCAGTGAGAGAGTAAGAGTGTGAGGTAACCGCTTTATAGGAGTCACAGTTGCGAGCGCGTAGACTCAGAAGGAAGTCATACATCGATACTGAATTTCCCAGACTGTATATGTATTATTATTGCTACTCACCGCATTTCTGGATCAACTAACTGTATTACCAATTGTATTATTACGTCAATACATTTATTTGCTATATTTCATTCCTGCGTTTGTCATTCATTGGAGACCGGATTTCATCTCGGAATCCACAATCCTAACCTTTAAAATATCAATAGGATATACGTTTTCATTCAAAAGTTGTCAGCAAATTCAATTTAAGAATTTAATCTGAACTCTGAGCCAAACAACTGGATAAGGATAGAATTCCAATGGGTATATATATATATATATATATATATATATAAACAATGATCGTTGGATTTAGATAATTAATATTCTATTGTATTTGTCATATTTGTCATATCATATGTTTTATCTGTTTAAATGTAGCTTATGACGACAGTACCGAATCATTGCCTGTAATCAGTATGGGCCTTCTTGGCTTCACGTTTTCGACTGACTTGAGGTGGAAGAATTACACTGAATCAATAGATGCATATACTGCAAGGAAAGTTGGCTCTCTGTGTCGTACCAAAAGTCTTTTCTCGTCAGAGATCATCTTACACATCTACAAATATTTAGTGCATTGAATACTTGGTGCCCCTGCCATTCATCTTGAGATTTTGGACAAAATTCAAATAAGGATCTGCAATTAGTCGATCCTGACCTGATATCTCGATTTCAGTCGCATTCTCACAGACGTGATGTGGCTTCCCTCTGTCTTATTTACAAATACTTTCATGGCAGCTGCTCTGATAACCATTTTTTTTCCCTGGTAAGCGGACTACGTGAGTTTAAATGTCCTACCAGATTGGTATGTAGGACCCGCCCTTTTACATTTAAAATGTAACCGCCACTTCAACTACAATAGTTTCTTTTCTCGCACTTCGCGACTGTGGAATGCCCTTCCTCTTACTTGCTTCCTTGATAACTACAATCTTCAAACACTTAAATGCAGCGTCAACTGCCATCATCTCTTGACTTGAATCTTGTTCATATTTATTCTTTCCTCAATCCCCTATTCCCAGTCTTTTCTCTCACTTCTGCTCTCTAAAAACCCTACGTGCTAGTGGCACTCCTGCCTTGCTTGGGGGTGAAATGCTTAAAAGTTGATTAATGATGAAAACAAAATATTTTGATGGGATTACGGATTTTTTTACGAAATAAGGTAAATATTATCTAATTTTTAAAACAAAGAGAAACAGGAAAATTAAAAACGGTTTCAATTAAATTAAATAAATTAAATTTAAAACGTTTATTAAATGGCGCTAACATAATGGACGACCAGTGTGAACACAATAAACTCTTAGTGATTCAACATTGAAAATTAATCACTTGAAGGATCTATATACTATTTGTCGGCCTATCATGAACACTATTTTTTTATGTTGAAACATTAGAATTCGGAATAAGCATTTACTGCAAACCCATCGTTGGAAAGGACCGAAATATATTTTCTGTTTGAATTTATGGGATGAGAAGTGATTATTGCTTAGAGTGGAACTAATGTTTTCATTTTTTGTTGTTATTATCACAACGTTTCGACTTTCGTTGCTATGGGTGTTCTTCAAGTTTCTGTGGATTCATTTGCAATTAAGTGGCTCTGCAGATGTAAAAAACATTGAATCTGACTTGTGCAGCAAGATATCAAAAAAGAAAAAACAAAACTCGTTTTCCTACATGAAATGAAAAGCCAGGTGTAAATTTTTTTAGTGCGTGATGAAATATCCCAATCTCAATCAACTTTGAGAAAACAGCGACACCAAAAAATAATCTGTATTCAAGATGCTTACACTTTACGTTTAGGTAAATAGTCTGGCCTCAAGCGACAATTTCGTTTTGATAAGGCGATATTTCAATATTCGTTATGGAAATGACTATGACAATGTTTCAGGGATTGTGTTTTGGATTTGAATATTTCTAAATTCGGCATCAGATAACAGGAGACTCCGAATTTATTTTGACTTTGTAATTTATTGCAACAAATATTACTTATACACACAGAATCGTATAAATAATTAGCAAATGAAAATGTTTCTACAGAAATAAATCTGTAGTCTTCAATAAATATTGCGCAGAACTTATTCATTTTTCAATATATTGTTAATCCTTGTTTACGTATTGGATTATGTGGTGATCATTAATAACATAGATCAAAGAATATGAAGTGAAAATAACAGATTAACATCAAGATGAAAGTTACGTAACAGTCTACTGATTTTGACTTAAATGCGTATACATATATAGATGTGTGTGTGGGAGTATGTATAGTCATTATATATATATATATATATATATATATATATATATATATATATATATATATATATATATATATAGAAATATACTCTAAAGGTTTGCTATATTTATAGGATAAAGTGCTCAATATCAGAGGTAGAGCGTGTGTAAATATAAAGGTATAAAAGTGAACATTGAAGTCAACACTTAGTAATTTCCTAAGACATTGAAGAAATCTTCCGTGAAGCACTGACTCTTCCTTGGTTTCCATAGTTTTGAGTTTTTTTTATACCAATGAATGTACGATAGTAAATTGAATATTCACATTGTCTGAGATTTTCCTGTAACTTTTGCTTTATTTCCAGAGCTTAATAATCAATTCGTTTTGTGAATTTTTCAATTCTTTACATCTTGCCATGATGATAACTTTCTTGCACGAATATCGATTAAGAAATGATCTGACTGTAATTATTCGGCTATAAATAACTACTGGTAACATTATTGGAACATTCTAGAATATTCTATGTCAATAATCTAGAGTATTAAAGCCATTTAAGCGTTTTAAAATCTGAAATTTGTATTGTACGAATAATTTTTTCATCCATTAAAATCGATAAATGGGATTTCTTTCTATTAAATAGGATTTTTTCTGTTTTCTATGCATTTTCAAAAACCAGAATCTCAATCGTAAG